GATTCAAAATAATATTTTTTTTAAAGTACTTATGAGAAATAATTCATAAAAACACTTTTAAAAAATTACTCTAAACACGCCTTTAAGGGCTTATTTTTTTCTATTAAATTTGGAGTTTTAATATTAACCGTTAGATTAACTTTAAAGTGATCTCAATCGCGAATAATAAAAGTCATTTTGTTTATCTTTTAAAATTTGAATTGTAAACTACTTTATTATATAGATAGATATAGATTTTGCCTTAAATATAGTATACTCTGAACTTTTGTAAGTATAAGTATATTTTCTTTTTCTTTTATTTTACCCTTTTCACCTCACATTCACAATTTTCTCAACCGCCACTTTATTTTGTTGGGTAGCCTCTTCAATCTTTTGGTTCTTCTCGTCCAAATCATCTCTTTCTCATTTTTCAACACTTTTAGGACAAGGTCCTATGCTATGAATAAACAATCTTTGAAGCATTCTCATTCTTCTTCAGCATCGAATCAAACGTCACATTACCATCCTTACATTATGGACGCCTCAAATCCCTCCTATGCCGGCTCGAGTTCATCGACATTTAAGAGGAGTACGTGAAGGACGGGTTCAAAAACTTGAAGCCCGAGTTCCTTCGAACCCAAGATGATCGACTCTTTGGTTTCTGAAAATTGAGAACAATCTAATTTATGAAGCACTCATATTGATTCAATTTTTTTATGCTTTTCGATTTGTGTTCTGAATATATAATTTTTTTAATAGTGGTGTGAATCAATTCTTGCTAGTTTCTATTGGATTTTTTTTTGGTGATATTTAGTGTTGCAGATTAGTTCAAATTTAAAGGTTCGTTTCAATTTGGTAAGAGCTTTTAAGTGCTTGACGAAATGCTAGAATGAGCTTACATGGCCATTTCTAGCAACAATGGCCAAAAAATCCATTGGGATCTGGAGAGAGAACAAGAAAGTGAGACAGAAAATAATGCAGCACACAATTAGTAACATCAATTAGTAACACTCAACTAATGTGCAACACACATATGGTAACATCACATAGTAATACTCAAATTATGTAACATCCACATAGTAACATCAATTGGCTTTATATGTTACTATTTTTTGGTCACTATTGTGTTGACGTTACTATTTATGTCTCTATTATGCCCAATGTTACTATCTTTTATTTTAAATGTTCCTGTTTTTGATTTTAAATATTATTATTTTTTTAAATGTTATTGTTTTTCATGTACATACCATTTCGAGTTTTGATAAAATTGACTTTTTTATTCGGTTTCTTCTTTGAGGGAAAGGAATAGATGGTGTTTTGGACAATTGCTACACAAATGTTCTTGAACCCAACATAATTTTGATAATGAACTTAAAGTCCAATAAGTCCTAAAATATGGACCAACCTCCAAATTTCCTTTTTTCAAATCTTAAAGGCGTTCCATGTGTTCCGGTATCCATCATTTTTTGAACTGGATCTATACCTAGATTCAAGGTTTCCTGCATCAGTTGTGGTGTTGTTACAACAATCTTTGAGGAATTAAAAAATAAACAAAAAATAGAATTGGAAAAAGAAATATCCGCTTTGAGAGGTGTTGAAAATCTCCGGCGGTTTAATTCGAGAAGAACCTAATCTCTAAACTTCACAAGAAAGTTTATCTCAAAATCCAACATATTCATTTCATTAATAAAAAAATCTTTAAATATAAGATGGTAAAAACTACTTTAATAAATAACCCGACTCATGATTCCATTATCTTAGTAACCACTTAGAAAACTACTTACAAAATACTCAACTCACTCACTAATAATCTTTCCATACCCAACTCTTAGATTACATAAAAAAATATTATATTAAAACATAACAAGGGTCTCTTGGAAGGTTTCAATCCATGTTAGTTGGAATGCTTCCATGGATTATGATATGTTCAAATGGTTAAATTCAATGTGACAGTGTCTTCTAGTGAAGGTTGGGGTTTATGGGGTTCTAAACCATTGCTGCAGAGATGAAATAGATTGCATTTAAGTGTTAATCTGTTTCGAAAATAGTCTGTTAGCTCTTGATCCAAATCCAAAGACCACAAGGTTGAGATGATTTGCTATTATGAAAAAATAATTTTTAATTAGGAATAATATCACTATCTTGGGAAAGATACGACCTCAAATTTCGTTTCCCTTGACAACTGTGAGCTACACAATGAGAATCGTGCAGTTTATTACTCGACAACATCACATTCGATGCAAACTCGACACGTGATGCAATTGCGATTTGGCAGAAAGCTGAAATTTAGGGGACCTGAACTCGAAACAGTGGTTAGTTGGTGTTTAGAGCAGAGTTACTGATGCTAAATTGTTTACATATATATTTTCTCTTTGAAATCTCTCTACAAGTGCCTCTCTGGCACATTAAATGCCATACAACAACAATAGCAAACAATTTCCAAAGATGATAATGAGAATGGGACGAAAACAAAATGAATCATCCTTGATATCATTATATTTCTTTTATTTCGTCAGACATTATCAGAGTATGATGTTTGAATGACCTTCTATTTACCGCTTCTCCATTGTTGAAGCCACTGGTTAGAAAATCTTTGTACCATTTAGCAGAAAGCTTTAGAATCCGATTTAGTTTTTGGCGATCAATGTAATGAAGTCCGAATCTTGTGCTGTAACCGTGTATCCATTCAAAGTAATCCATCAATGACCAAGCGAAATAGCAACGTACATCAGCACCATTCCTGGCAATGCAACAACATGTATATCTTCAGTACAACAACTTCCCCAGTCAGCGATATCAATAAGAATATATTGGAGACTAATGATGATTTCCAAAGATATATTACTTGTTATGCGTAATTTTAGCATAATAACTTCGTATATGTGAAAGTAGATAGAAAGGTGTTTGATGAATCAGATCATTCAGTGCTAAAAAAGAAAGAATAAAATTCATGACTTTGGCCATCAATAGTTATAACAAGGTTTTGTTGAGTATTACAGTCAACTTATTGCTTGGCCAAAGAAGCAAGGTATCCTCTGTGAAATCCAATTCGTTTCACATCATGCAGTTCGTCTTGAACTTGTACCTCTTGTTGCTCTGGCGGAAAATACCCTGAGGTTTTAAGTCACAAATTAAAGTTCCAAAATATAAAAGACGATGCTAGAACTTAGTAGTCTTAGTTGTAATGTACCTTGTTCTTTCGGTTCTTGGCATTTTGTTTGGTATTTGAAAAAAAATTCAACTTGGATTCTATCTATGCAAGTTAGTTATCAAGCTATGATTTGTGGTGATCTATTATTGCCAGCAAAATTTAGAGTGCCCCCAAAAATATTTACCTTTATTACTAAAATTAACTGTCATGGCACATCTTTAACTAAGGAAAATTATAAAGTAAGATTCAGATGTGATACATCTGTACTTACCTACTATAACTATTTTAGTGGACCTATTTAACATCAAATTTTGAAGATGACTGAGCCACTTACTCACCATTTTCTATCACAAACATAGGCTTGTTATAGTATCTATTGTTAACATAGTCGATGATCTCCTTCATGCCTCTTGGAACTACAAAAAATCTTGCCATTTCTGTCTGTTGGGAACAAGAACAACAAATTTAAAAAGAAAAATAATGAGATAAAAGAGAGTTTTAAAATAAAGGGTTAATCTCATTTTGCACCCTAAAAGATTGTTCAAATCTCAATTTGTACCCTCAAAGATAAAAAATCTCAATTTGCACCCTCAAAGATAGAAATTTATATCAATGTGCATCCCCAAAGATAAAAAATCTCAATTTTCACCCTCAAAGATAGAAATTTGTATCAATGTGCAC